CTGCCCACAACAGGTCCCACAACATCAACCCAGAGCTAGAAAGCAGGTGCTCCCAGGCACGTGGAGATGGCACACTTGAAGTAAGATTATAGTGTGATGAGGCTGTGTAAGGAAATTCTGAAAGAAATTTCTGTTTGTTAAATGATGGGCACTTGGCGGGGTTGTTGCACTCATAACTATGCTCGTTGATAGGGGCATATACTACTACAAATATAAATTGTGACCTGAGAGGGCTACAACTCTAATAGCTAAAAGTCAGCTAAAAGTAGGTACACACTGAATCTCATTAGATTAACCCAGTATATAAACCTAAAATAACTACAAGCAAACAAGTAGGTTTGTTCTGGATTCCCTAACATTACAAAAGCCAAAGCCTGACCTGCATATATTAGTAGCTGGCACTAAATGTACATTTAACTATACGGTATGGTTGTATAACGACATATCTGTACACATAATTGGATAGCCTAAATATTGCATTCATATTTTTCTTATCTTTAAAATAAATGCCATTGACAGGAAAGTTTAATCCCTTGGTGAATGCAAAATACTGAGTGTCTGATGCTCTCACTTAATGGTTTAAACTATCTAATCCTGTAGCATATCAGTTCTCATTGTTTATTAGTAAATGAAGTGCTGTTTGTGTCAGAGACCTATAAAGGCTTGGGTTAATGCAATCACCTCTAAAAGTGCTACCCTTGAAGCCTGCTGAGGCATTTAAAAAGGCAAAATGCAACCAGAGCAGGGCAGGGCCATATGAGCAGAAGACGTTGATGACAAGTCTCTTTCACACCTTATATTCTAGTAAATCTTAAAAAAAAATAACAGTTTGAGTGCTTTAGGAAGACTGTGCATTGGGAGTTTTAAGTAGCCTCCTGTGAAGCCTGATTTTGATCATGAACCTTAATAGTTGGGGTTTTTTTGACAGAAGAGTTACTATAGTCCGGTTGACACATTATTGGTCTATTGGAGGGATGGGAGAATTATGTTGTCCCTAGACAACAGTATTTTCTCACTTATTACAAACTTTAAGAACTTGTTAAAATGTAAAACATACTCTTTTCAAAGATACCTACGTTTGTTTTTCCAAATGTATTTCTTAAAGATTGATTTAGGTGGTTTTTTTCGTTTCTTGAGGTTGAAGGAGGTTTATTGTCATTATCTGTTTACATTATGATCTTGGAATAATCTGATCTGTATTCAAAAAAAGTATTCTAAGAGAGCTTATTGTGATGGCTTTAAGTATATGCCATGGAAAAAATAACCTCTGTTAAAAGTTTATCTTTTTCTTTACATATTCATTGTCTCATATTTAATAGAAGACAGGCCATTGTGCTTCTGAAGGGAAACAAATGGACTTCAGGAAATTGCAACAGATTCACCAGTTGGCCAGAGGAGGGAGCGATGCAGCCTTTCTGGCTGCTGAGATCAATCTTTCAGCCTAAACTGAAATGTAACAGCTATTTTGGCAATCTGCTTTTGTGCCATTAAACCTTGATTAATCCAATAATAAGAACAATAGGTTATATTTTACCCTGTCTGCTTTAAATTAAGACAAACCTTATGAATTCAGTAGAGACGAATAAGTATTAAAGGCAGCAAAAGTGGGGCACATGCAAGCTCATAGCTAAAAATTTGATAGTGCACTGGGGATTCCTGCCTGTCCCCGTGATGAAGCAAAGCTTAAGAAATAAATTTGCATGCATTAGGAGCTTTATGTATTGTGGGTTGTAAATAGTACACCGAGAACGTTAGGGAGATTTAAAATCAGGTACAAGTATAAAGCAGAAAAAAACCCCAGCCTCTTCTTCAGTTGTGTCATAGCTTCCAGGCAGCATAAAAATAATGAGCAAGTTCTATAAGTAGCTATATAGGCAAGAGAGTAATATTGATATAGCACTGAGAGAAGAGCTTTTGAAACTGCTAATCTACTCCTGTTTCTTAACGGGTAAAAAGGAAAACTGGTGGATTAAAATTACCATACAATCAACTTCATGTTTATGGCTGAATTCACTGTTGCCTATTAACACTGCTGCTATTGGATTGTAATTAATAACAAGAAGGACAAAATTGCATTACACAAAAATAGAGGAAATACTATGAGTATGGAAGGAAAGAGCTGGCTGGGGGTAGGATAGAAGACAAGGAAAACCAGAACCAGGGAACGGAAGAGCATCCGTCTTCCAAAGTAATTAAATGTTATCGACTATTCTAGTATTTCTTTGGCTGTCATTCCATATATCTTTAAAGATGCAGAAAACTGAGAATATAATATATTTTTGTTATGTACATGTATTAATATATCTGCCTATAGAAATTGGGACAATGCTAAAGCAGTTCTTGTGTTGCTAACTATTCTGGGTTCCAAGCAATTACTTTCTTTGTTACCTACAGTCAGTGTTGTCTGTTCAGGAGCCAAAAAAGTAGCAGAGAGCTTTCTTCCATATCCAGGCGGTGCATCCTTGAAGTAGGTTGGCTACAGCTAGAGTCAGAACCCTTTTTTTCTTCTGAAGATGTATGTCTGAGTGACACCAATATAAAGTATTGCAGAATTGATAGACCTGCTGGGAAATGGTGCAGGCATAGCTAGGCTCACGAGCTAACTCATTGCCAACAGAAGTTTGGCAGGGACAATACTGGTGTGAGGATCCTAGTCCCAAAGCAGCCCTAACCCTGTTGGATGCTCTCTTGTGTCGTAATGTTCCAGATGCTGTGGCCTCTGTAGGGGCTGTTCTGCAGCCTGAAAGCCACCTCACTTACCTCCTTTATTCATTTCATCCCAGCACTTTTGTTATCCCCAGAGCTCCCTCTTCTCCTTGGCATGTCACCGTGTCACCTGGCCCTAAGCTGCCCAGCCCGTGGCTAGGTGGGTGGCAGTTAGCACAGCCACCCCCAGGAGGCTGCTGCCACTTTAGCCACTTCTTAGCCCTATGGCCCTGGTCAAGTCTCTGATGAGAGCCTGCACACTGGCAGAAGCAACAGCATTTTGATGTTCTGAAATGGCATTATGGAACAGTGTAAAAACAACGCGTGGCACTGATGATGGCTTGGTTCTATGAACTATTTAGGTCCTATTTAGGTAAAGCTGCATATTTTTTTTAGCAAGGCACTACTCCACAGCAAACATTTTGGCTTGTTCTTTCTCAACAGGACAGTATCTTCTTAAATGGTAAAGATCAAGAGTGTATTTTTAGACCCAATTTCCTCCCTTGTAAGTGTGCTCAAGGGCTATTTGAACTGATCACATAGTATTATTGTCTCTCTGTTCTGGCATCAGGGAAGGCAGGGTGGAAGAATAATGCTCACTTCTGCAGGTGATAAAACATACACTAATGTGTTTCAGAAAAACTCAATCGGTTCCAGTATAGGAGGGCTAACTGGCAAATGCTAAGAAGCTTGTCCTACTACTTTAGTATTCAATCTCATAGCTCTTTAGTCTTTCTTTGCGTCATTGCTGAAATACTGCTTGCTTTCTAGTCTAATAACTAATGCAATTGCTTAATCTTGTGCAGCCTGGTTTCTCTGCAGCCCTTGGCCACAGTGTTGTCTGCGTTTATGAAGCATTGTTAGAGCAAATGGAGTAGTGGCCACTGTTGGCATCAAGGGGGCTAATGAAATGCAGAGCACATTTGCATATCCAGGTATTTAATTGATCTCCACTGCACACAGGGGACCAAATTCAGCCAAGTGCAGCTTCTAGCAAGTAGCTCAGACATCGAAGGAAGCCTGTTTTCTGCTGTAAACATGGTTGCATGTACACACCACTCATGAGCTGATTGTAAGTGGAACACAGGTGGATGTACGTTGTTGTAGTAGCAAGTCCTGCATGCATTTAAAATGTGGTGGGTATGTAAAAGTTGGCATTAAGAAGTCTATAGAGTCAATATAAGGGTGTTGGTAGCAAGAAAAAACACCAGTGAAAGAAATGATGAAGCAGCCCTCTCCTAACCCCTCACCCAATTTAATTTATACAATATGCCATGGTCTCAGCTTTAAGCCTGGATTAAAGCCCCAGATTCAGCAGTGGGATAAACTGAATTCCACGGGAGTTGTGCCCATTCACACAAAGACAGAGTTTGTTCCCGTAGAATAATGATGTGCCTTCCGCCAATAGTTTTACCACTTGAATGCCAAGTTGCAGTCCGGAGACACTTGCTTAACGTTCCTGCTTCACTTGGTGCAAAACTGGCACCTCCAAGTGCTCCTCTGCTCTGTCTGGTTTGGTGTATCGCTGCGAGATTTCAAAAGAAGGACTGCCTTCAGCGTTTTGCCTGGATCATTTCCCAGTCATACAGTGCTCCCTAGCAGATGGCTGCATCCATCTCCACTGCAGTCTGCAGCAATTTCTTTCTTCTGTCCATCCGTGAAGCCAGCAGAGTTGTAACTGTCCTGCACATACGTGGCTGGGACAGGGACAACGGGTGGCTCTGCCTGCCTCAGCCAGAGCTGGGGAGGATCCAGGCTTACTACATAGCAGGCAATCAGCAGCACCTACATCGAGACTCAATCTGTCGGAATGATTTAGCCTTGGATGGTTTTATTTGATTTTTTAAAAGCTTTTCTCACTCGGCCAAGCCCTTTACCTCCTCCCTTCTTCCCTCTTTGGCCTGAATTTCTTGTGTTCGGTTTGTATGTCTATTCTGCCCAAGTGGGTCAGAAGCATCCAGGGCATTTTTGCCTGTTCAGGGCTTTTCTTCTTTTCAGTTCAACCTTTTTCTCCTTCATTGGGCAAGTCATTTCGGGGAAGCATAGATGCAAGGGTGTGTTTGCTTGTTTGTTCTATGTACGTGACAGTGCACTTAAATAATTTTGGAACATTTACTTGCTCGCTGATCCTATAGAAGATAACTGCACCTGACATTTTATCTTTCCCTGCTCGTTGGGTTTCTGGAAAAACTTTCAAGAGCATTAACACAAAAATGACAGGAGTGATCCCTGTGGTTCTTTTCCCCTTCAGCTCTCTCCAGCAAGAGACTGTCCTGCACTGCTTTGTTTTTCAGGTTGATGGCTTCCTGACACTTCTCTTTGGCTTGGCCAGCATTAATACCCTTACAGTAATCAGCGTGACTCGCTACATCAAAGGCTGCCATCCTGAGAGAGGTAAGGAATAAAGGCAGGTCCAGGTCTGCCTTCATTGAACCTGGTGCAAATCCAAATTTCTTTAAGTCACAGGCTATCTCAAATATAAATCAGATGCATTGGAAAACAGAACATAATACATTCATGTTACAAACACGTTTGCATAGAATCCTTCTGGGTTAACCCCAATAAGAGCTGAATTATTACTAGTGCACTTTGGTCACCAGGGGTTAAATTCCCCCTTGTGCCAAAGATACAACAGGTCCTGCTGACACTGTGTTTTTCAAAATGCAACTTAAATGACTCCTAAGTGATGCATACATCATTATCTGCACCTCACTGCAAGCAATGATTTTCGTCTGCTACAAGATGATGCTTGGGAAGTTCCCAGTCATTGAAAAGATCCTGGTTTCGGAAGGCTGCCCTGCACACGAACGTTTTCACTCTTCAGGGTGTTTTTCCAGCATTTGGGCACAGCAGGCATCTCAGGCTGCTTTAGATGGCACTGGGAACAGTCAGTCTGCACATCCTCCCTCCAGCTTCTGTAGCGCTGTGCAGCCTGCCACCCCCACACGCCTCTCCAGCCTCACTGGACAGTTTCACACCACAGGAGATAAAAATTACTCCCACCATCGCCAGAACTGACCCTGACCTGACTCTGCCCAAACAGGCAGAATGAGCACTGCACTCACCCCACACCCCTCATTTCACAGCATTAGTAGAAACTTTTCCTTACCCTTCATCCTGGACCTCCCGCATGCTGAAAACTTTGACTTTCAGTGGGAGCCTTATGTCATGTCCATTCTTCATACCTACACCTTCCATAAATTCTCCCTAGTCTTCCTTTCACCCATCCACAGATAATGTTTTATCAGTTTTCCTGCCTTTGACTGTCTTGGACCATCTTTCAGGCAGGAATGTATTAATGTCCACGGGTAAAGCATGCATAAATACACTGGGTCATATGAGTAGTATTAGCTGTGAAAAGAGCTTCTGCAGGGAGGTCTTTTTTCCCCAGGAAGTTCTTCTGCAGTTTGTTGTCATGATAGACTTGTTGAAATTAATTTTCAACACAAACTGCTGTTGGAGCTGCTAGAATTTGGCTGTGATATACATCTTCTATTCATTGCATATTATGAAGTAATTTTTAAAACCCACATTTCTCGTTTGCAAAGCTGTATCACATGTTCATCTGAGACTATGCGTAATTTATGTTTGCCTCTTGAGGAAATCTGAGCAAGTACCCCATGCAACTTTACAAAAACGTTAAGGAACAGAAATTAGCAGATGCATAAATATTTCCCATGTAAACAAAGAAATAACCACAATGCATGGCAAGAGCAGGACAGATTAAATAATTTGTATTGAGTGGATAATGTAATTTGAGCACCTAATGTATTTTCTCCTTTTTAACAGGGAAAACCTCGAAGTGAATAAGAAAATCCTCTCAATTTAGACTTACCTTATTTGTTTCTATGTAAAACTGAACATACAACTAACTGTTTCCTGCTTTTTTACAAAATTGCAAAACATCAGTCTGACCAAACCATGCCATTGCAGGTCACTGCATCAGCAACAGCAGTATGACGGTGGCTCTGGTTCTCATTTGGACAGCAGCTTTCTTCTGGTCAGCAGCTCCATTACTTGGCTGGGGCAGTTATACAGGTAACAGGTATCTTTCAGTTGTACTTATTTGGCACCAGACTGATTATCAGTGGAACTGAGAAAATCATCCATCATGCACGACACACGTGTAGAGTGTTGCCTGCTTTGGTGTCAGCTATAAAGAGATTTTTTTTAAGATACTACAGGAAAGACTTGGACCAAGTGCATGTTACCTATGAAAAAAGAGAGGCTGGAAATATCTGGCATGGTTAAGCAATGAGATAAAGGAAACTATCAAAAGACAGCCTTCAAAAACTGTCAAGATTAGCAAGCTAGAAAAGAACACAAGTTCCAGCAAGTTAAACTTGAAACTGTAATAAGACAAGCCAGAAGGATTTGGTGAAACAGTTTATTGAAAATATGAAAACTAACATAGCAGAAGAAGAAAAAGTTGTCAGAAAGTTTGTCAGTCCAAGAAGTGTGATTAGGGTGCAAGATAAAACCATAGCAAAAACAGGAGGGGGGGGGTGGGAAAGGAAAAATTTTGAATAGTGAATACTGTGGTAATTCAATGGCTAAGGGATATTCCCACACAGGAAAATTTCTTCATGTGGAAAAGTTGGAGAAGTTGTCTCAAATTAAGTCTCTAAAAATTCAGCAAAAGAGATCTCTAGGAAAAAAATTGTAATGACACAGGAGGCCTAACAAATGGAAAACTGTGACTGAAATTGTCCAGCAGTCATCTGCCTGGATCCTGTAGGCATCTGCATCCTTTGAGAAGTCATGAAATCTACGAAGACTTATTAAAGCAGCTATGTGAATATATCCTCCTACTTAGTCAATACATAAGCTTTGAGGTATCTCTGGACTGGTGTGAGAAAACCATCCATTTCTACGACTGGTTACATCTTCTATCCTTCCCAAACCACAAATGTTACTAGCATATTAGGCTCAATAGATCTTTTGTTTGAGACAAAATCAAACTGTTTATTAGACTGTTCTAATTTTGTGTCATATTTTTGCACTCTGGATATGCCATAAACTTGTGGGTTTTGGACTGTGTAATTTTCTGTGTATCTTCTGGCAATCTGTGTTTTCTTTTTACATTAGTCTTGTTAGTTCTTTATTTGTAGAAGGTTTTTTGATGTCTTTTTTTTTGCCTTAAACTGGAGCTGGGGAATTCTTGGGCATGACTGCCTTGGCAGGGCATCAAAGTGCCCCCATGGATCCTGTTTGTACTTTGTATTCAATTCTCTGACAGTGGTCTTCAAGACCACTTCTAGGAGGAATTTTCCCTAGTGAGGATCAATCCCGGCTACCTTGGACCTCTCATCTCTACACAGCAGCTGCTGGGGTCCCCAGGACCCTGCAGATTTTTGGAAATGCCACTTACCGGTGTCCCCACAGAGGAGGAAACACAGCTCTGAATTCTGAGTCGCAGAAAATCTGCAGGATTTTTTTTTTCATGTCATCTGGAGGCTGCTTTCCCAAACCAGAAACCCGGAATTAAACAGATTTTATGGTTATCCTTTTGAATTTTGAGGTCTACTGATGGAAAAGGTAAAGGAGACAAAAATCTATTTCTATTGCTGAACACGTTCAGGAAGCATATCCACATTCAACACGTAGAGCTTTTGATGATAAAAATACCAAGCTCTTTTTGATGAGAATCATAAAGGAGATTTTAATCTTTTGGTCCTTTAATTCATCCTGTCTAAATCTCCTATCACATCAGAGGAATTAAAGGATTTTTTTTTTTTCTTCAGAATTATCACTGGATGTCAGGGAGAGATCTGTTGCTAAATCATGCAGGCTTCACCTGTATTATATCTCCAGGACTTGTTAATACTTGACTTAGATAATTTTGGTTCATGCTTCATTTATTTGTAATTCAATTTGCTGCCACAGCTGTCAGGAAAAAAAAAACAGGGTTTTCCACTTAAAAAGAAAAATCAACAATTCACAATCGATAGAAAAACTCTAGTGTTGAGAAAACTTAAGTTTTCTGTCAGGACACATTTGCAAACACATCAGAAGGACTAAATAAATCAACTGTTATTCATAAAATTGTTTAAGCAGAGACTGCACCTTATTCCCACTGCCTTTCCCATAAGTACCTGATCAGCTAGTGTCCTTTGTAAATCCCACTAGCTGCAGATCCTGCAATCTGTCTGACTTCATTTTTAAGAGCCTGCAGCTCCTTTGTAGTTGCAGAACTGGAGGCTTCCCATTTAGCAAAAGCTTCATATCTTACTAAGTATTTATACATTTCATCTTCCCATAATCTTTATCATTAGCTGTATCAATTTGCTTTCATGCCTTTTGCTACAGTAAAAATTGAATTGCCTTTTTGTTTCTATTAAAAAAATCCCTCAGTATGTTTATTTCCTACTTTGCTATGTAAGTAGTGACTTCTTACATTTGACATATTGTCTCTTTACAATTGCTTGTAATGCTGTTACTTGCTCATCTTAGGAAGTTACTGTGTAGAAGATTATGACAAATAAGAGTAAATAACACTCAAGAATATCAACCCTGATATGATTAATGATTATAATAAATGATTACCATTTCTAATAAAGTTTCACAATTTCCTATCCTGAAACAGCAGCTTGTGCATTTATGGATTTACACCAGAAACCTAAACTGGAAAGAATGATAATACACATTAATACTTGTTACAGTCTAGCTGGTCTTGAAAACTTGTTTATGCAGAAAATTATGTCATGGCTCATTAAATCAGAAAGATCAAGCCATTCCTTAATGCTTAAAAGCAGAAAAATACAGCATTTGAACTGATAATTTAATTGCTCAAAAATAGACAAATGTTCTAAAAATGCTCACCAACTTATTTTTGCTTTCCAGATCGCATGTATGGGACATGTGAGATAGACTGGGCAAAAGCCAACTTTTCTACAATCTACAAGTCCTACATTGTCTCCATTTTTATCTGCTGTTTTTTCCTACCTGTCACAGTCATGGTCTTCTCATATGTGTCAATCATCAATACTGTCAAGCTAAGCCATGCCTTGACAGGACTGGGCGATCCCACAGACAGACAGAGGAGAATGGAGCGGGATGTCACCAGGGTGAGTTTGGGTTTCGTGTTGGGTAGTATTTTTCTCAGTGAAATCTGTCTTTAAAAAAATTGGTCTCAACTAGGACAGAAGAGAACAAAACCAATCAGTTGCATTTCATTTCTCTATAATATCTGGTGACAGAGCCTGCCTGGCTCCATCAAAGCCAACCTTTTGCTTGTACAGTCTGAATATTTCCCTTCCAGACAAGTGTCCAAGATACTATTCCCAGTGTATTGTTTCCCTCTTGCAGTCTTCCAGAATAGATTTAAGACTATTCTTCTGTCTTTTAGGTTTCTATTGTCATTTGTACAGCCTTCATTATTGCATGGTCACCATATGCTGTCATCTCTATATGGTCTGCCTATGGTCACGCAGTGCCCAATCTCACCAGCATCCTTGCCAGTTTGTTTGCTAAGTCTGCCAGCTTCTACAATCCCATTATCTACTTCGGAATGAGCTCCAAATTTCGGAGGGATATTTTCATCTTGTTCCATTGTGCCAAAGAAGTTAAGGACCCTGTGAAACTCAAACGTTTCAAAAACCTCAAGCAAAAACAACAAGAGCCCTCTCAGAAGGAAAAGAAGTATGCAGGAGAAATGCACCCCGCAGCAAGCCCTGATTCCGGGGTGGGAAGTCCAACCAACACCCCACCTCCAGCAAACAGGGGAGAGTATTTTGGTATTCTTGATACATCATCTAATAACCCTGACATTGAATGTGACAGACTGTAAGTTTTGCAGCCACTTAACACATGCACCCACTTTGTGTTCAGGAAGACCCTTTTCAGATCAGCGCTTGAGTGATTTCCTAACTCCCAGTCCATCTGTTTCTTGCTATAGCACTGATGACTGTACTACTCAAGCAAATCAGGCAGTAAAGTGATATTTTCCTTCTATGTAGGTACAAAACGCTACAAAGCACATTACAATGTGGGCAGCACGCCCAATGCCAGAAACATTTGATTTTCAAACGCATGCAGGAAAAGGAAGACCGACTTGTGAAGGGCAGGCACTAGCTAGCAAAAATAACTAATATGTTCCTATCCAACTGTTATTAATCAGGAGATTACATTTACAAATATGTTTCTTGCTGTTCAGCAGTCCCAGCCACAGAGGATTGTTTCAGCTCTGGGGTGCTGCACAGCCCAGGCTGCAGGAGATGGGCTCTGCTGGGATGCTGCTGCCGCTCCAACGGCTGCCAGCTGGTAGGCAAAGCCCTGTGCTCCCCGTGGGGCAGCCAGGCATGCCCACCGTGGGGCTCCCAGGCCCTGTGCACCCATGGATGTGTGTCTGATCCCCTGTGCCTGACTCTGGGTGTGTCCGTGCAAGTGCTAGGAGCTGTGGATCTTGGCATTTTCTAGGCACTGTTGTCCAAACAGTGGCTTCATACTTTCCCTCGTGGGTCTGCAGAACTATTTCCACCTTCCTGGTGAGCAGGGCCTGGCTGTAGCATTCAGAGTCAGGAAAGCTGGCCTTTAATTTTACTGATCTGTCTCCAAATAATTGGTTGTTTTTCTACCTGCCTATTAAGGTGAAGCCAGAGATGTTGTACAGGCAATGAAACCAGAAAGGACGCTAAGGTTTTAAGAGTACTGATGAAGTGTGGCATCAGAGCTATTTACAAAATACAATCCAACTCTTCACTGCTGCTTCTAAGGGAAGTTTTTGTACCTGCCTATGGGTAAAAAATGACTTTTAGGTAAACATAACTAAGTAGCAATCCAGCATAGTGATTTAAATAGCTACATTGTAGGCTTAAATCAGTAGCAAGACTATCAGGTGTTATAATATCCAATTATCCCAAAAGTTTATTTTACAGAATCAAAGTGAGGAGGTACATCTTTGTAATTCCCCATCTTGACAATTAACTGCATACTCAGAGACTTCTGCAAAAATATCTTCGTATTAATCATGGAAACTGTGGGTTCATTTAGTGCCATTTGCAAGTTAAAGAAGGGAAAAAAAAAAAAAGAAGAAAAATACCCAACAACAGTGGTAGCTAACCTCACTGCTGTTTATGACTTTTTGGAATCTCACTGTCTGGGTGTGCTAAAATGTAGTTGTTTTGCAACAGTATGCTTTTCCAGATGTGTTTCTTGGGAAAGTTACAAAGAGAACCTGCCTTCATTTCCCCCATTACTCTGTTTGTTTTGAGAAAATCACCTGTGTTTTGAAGTTAAAAACAAATAAACATTATAAGCAACAGTGGGGAACTGTGTTTTCTTTCATGGCCACAGATGAACTACAAGAGTATTCAGTTTTGTGGAAAATTTTGAGATATGGGTGCTATTTCATTACCATAAATAATTAAAAGCAAATAAGTAAGCAGTTTGCTTCCAAGTAAAAGTGCATGCCATAGCTGCAGAAATAGATGAAATCATTTAGGACAAAATCCTGCGGCAGCTGGATGAAGCCAGGCTGGGCTAGCCAAAGCCAGCGTGCCATTTTGAAAGCCTCTAGCTGCAGCACAAAATCGACCTTGGTAACCTCACTGGACTGAGTCTTCTCACTGCTGAGAGTGCTTGGGTTTTCCTCCAAAGAAAGGGGAGTGCCCCGCGTTCCCATCGGATGTGGTTCTTGGAGGTACCTGCAGCCACACGTGTGCCGGACACATGTCCACAGAGTCTCCATGGCCACAGCAGCCAGGCTGGCTTTTAATCTGTATTTCTGATAATTTACAGATAACTAAGGAAAATTCTTGCCCTGCGGCATCATAGCAATGCTGTTGATCTGCAGGATCCCGGGTCTCACATAGAAAGATGTGAAACGAGGCCGTTTACAAAAACGCCCCCACGCTCCAGCTGAAACCTCTGCTAGTCCGTACGACACTGAGCATGAATGGTGAGGTTAGACTGGGAGAAGAGGAGAGAGTAGTAACAATGAGCCAGGATAGGAACAGAGTAGAGGAAAATATAAGAGGGAGAAAAACAGATAAGCAGAAGGGCAAGGGGTCAGGAGCCAAAGGATGCTGTAGAGCAGAATATCCGGTTTTGCGGGTTGCACAGGGGAAAAGAGGATGGATGCCTTTGCAGGCATCAACCTGTCCTCCAGGTACAGTGACAGCAGAAGCACATTTGTCACAGAAGTTACTCGGGTTAAAAAGCTTCCAGCCCTAGAGCACCTGCAGCTGCACCCGCAACACCAGCGAGTGGCTGAAGGCAGAAAAAAAGGTCCAGAACCTCCACTCGAGTGCAGACGAGGGAATGTGCTTCAGCATTTCTTCTGAAGGAAGTCAGAGCTTTAACAAGAGGTGGAGGACACGGGCTCAGAAAGCGTGGGAAGAGGTGACTCTCTCTCAGAAGGCTCTGAGGAAAGCCCGGCTAGCACTAGGAGAACTGGCAGGTATGCCTGCAACTAAAGGAGCCAAAAACCTTGACATCACAACTTACAACTGAGGAGAGCAGACTTGTCGACTTCTGGGCTGCAACAGTACTTAGCAGACTTGAGTCTTCCTCAGGTTAGTTGAGATCTCCTGTTTGCTTCTGCCCCACTCACCGGCTCTGTGTAATGGCTGTGGGTGCCCACCCACACCTCTGTTGTTTCACTGCGACCCTGACCAGAAACAGCATCCCAGTTTCCCATTTCCAGCCTAACAGAAATCACGTTTCAAGCTTCGTGTTTGCAGCTTGTTTCATTGCTGCATCCCATATTATACCCACTATGCACTATTGGTAGGTGCTTTGGCAACAGAAAAGGAAGAGCACAGTCAACAACCAGAAAGTTAGGTGAATACAACACCAAAACACTTTCTAATAACAATTCTTACTGCAAAGCAAGCACCATTTTTCCCAAATGCTTTTCCTCATCCAACCTTCTATGAAAATGGAGCACCACCATGGAATAGTGAAACATGGGGAGTTCCCACAATGTTAGCTCTTACCTGTTCTGCCCACAAAGAGCCCTTTGAGCATGTGCCATGCTAGCAGCATGAAAAAACATGTAATCTCCCTGAAGTCCTCCTGCAAAGACAACATGGATTTGGGGCCATTCCCCCTTTATAACCATATGCAACAGAAAGGAGGTTAACAATATTAGTTATATTGCCACACATACCTGGGACGATACTTCTGGCCTCATAAAATTGTGTTCTCCAAATAAGATCCACTTCGTGAATCTCCTCAATAACCTAAAGACTTTCCCCTAATGCCTCCATCTGCAAAATCTGGAATTTTACTGCACCCAGCAAGTTCAGTTGCCGTTCAACAGGCACAGTCAGGTCTGGGGATGCTCAACATATGGTCTCTCAGCTGTAGATCACAAAGGTTTTTAATGAAGATGACATGCCTCCACTGCCTCTAATCCCAAAGAATCTGATTGCTTTTCTGAATAGCAGAATACACCCAAAGCACTTCTGCCATGAAAATGTTAGGTTTATTTTATTTTTTGATATGGCATCTTGCACAGTAAGCAAAGTGAAAACTAACTGCAGTGTGGGCAGTAGCAGTCATTAACAGTGTTGAAATTATTTTTTCTACTTAATCACAACAGCAGGTTTACCTCATTTGGTCTCGTGGACTTAACAGTATTTCACTGACCTACCAAATCTTCAAAGAGCAGAAGTGTCCTGCCAGCCTAACCCACAGCTGACCATAGGAAGCCCCCATTTTGAACTGACCATTTCCATTCCTTAAGATAAGGGCAACGCAGCAAAGCAAGCTTTTCCAGACTCCCCACAAAAAAAAAAAAAAAAAAAAAAAAAAAAAAAAAAAAAAAACAACCAAAAAAACAGCTCACCCCCTTCGGTCTGTAAATGCCTGTATTAGCCCAGGTTACAAACAGAGGACAAAAGACCAGACTATCAGGCAGCACAGGGCCATGGTCCCAGGCTCTGGCCACCATCCAAGCCCTTCCTTGACACCTGGATAAACCCAGCAAGGATTCAGTGCACTCATCAGGGCAGGGAAACTAGCCTGGTCTATGTGGCTGGTCTCCCCTTTGGCGCTGCTTTGACTTAGTCACAATTATTTCAGGCTTTGTTACCCAGGTGGGGGTGGCTTTGACTTGCTCAGCAACAAGCTTAAAATACAAATAATCCAATTAATGTAAGAAGCAGAGTGTAAAAGCGCTTGGAAAGGGCTGGGAAAGCCAGGAGGAGCAGCCGGCACATCCCTGGTGGGACGTTTCCCTCGAAACAAGGGTGCACAGAGGTCCCTTGTTAGCTCGGCAGGCACAGCAGCGTGGCTGCTCTCTGAACCCCGCAGTCCTTGGGATTGTGACATTTCACTGGGACTCAGAAAACCAAGGCGGGGGGCACACAGACCTGTATGCCATGCAGATATTCAGGCTTGCAGTTAAATAAACTCCAGAGACAAATGCTAACTGCTGCCCACTTCCAGTCCTATGACGACGTCTCAGCAAGGGCTTATATAAAACCTCCCTCTAGCCCATCAGCCCAGCCTTCGTTAGGCAACAACAAAGAAATGTCAGAAGTGATTTAAGAGTATATCTTTAGCCCTGAAATGAGTGTTTGTGCTTAGGCTGAGGGGCGACAGGGGAGTGGGAAGATGAAAATTGAGGAGCGTTCACAATTATTCACATTGCAGCCATGGAATACTTGTGTAGGGCTATTCATTTGAAATGTTGCCGTTGATAATGGCATTCAGCTGCAGAAATCCCTAAATATCATTTAGAGAGATGATAGACAACTCCTCTGCTTGCCTGAAGGGGTGAAAATTCTGCTTGCCTGAAGGGGTGAAAATTCAGGGCTTTGGCTCAAATTCCTTGTCCTCTGG